AATCATCTGTTGAACTGCATCCTAAATTTATCACAAATACTGCAGAAGACCTATTGGAACCTGCATTAACCCAAGACACTCACAGAAATAAGTCATTTAGTGAAGAAAAATCATGGTTTGGGGTTACATTCAGTATGGGGGTGTGCGACAGATTTACAAAGTGGATGGCAACATCAACAGCCTGAGGTATCAAGACATATGTGCTGCCCATTACATTACAAACCACAGGAGAGGGCAAATTCTTCAGCAGGATAGCACTCCTTCTCATACTTCAGCCTTCACATCAAAGTTCCTGAAAGCAAATAAGGTCAAGGTGCTCCAAGATTGGCCAGCCCAGTCACCAGACATGAACATTATTGAGCATGTCTGGGATAAAATGAAAGCGAAGGCATTGAAGAGGAATCCAAAGAATCTTGATGAACTCTGGGAGTCCTGCAAGAACGCTTTCTTTGCAATTCCAGAAGACTTTATAAATAAGTTATTTGAGTCATTGCAGAGATGTATGGATGCAGTCCTCTAAGCTTATAGGAGTCATACACAATATTAATTATTTTCCCACTGCACCATGGCTTTATACTGTATTCTGTATACTCTATACTGTACATTATTTACAAGACTTTTGTCTAAGCAAAGTCAGACCTTACTGTCCTACTTAAACAATTAAAATCAAGGCATGATCATATTTTACTTAATAAAAATAGGCAAATCTAGAGGCCTTTGCCTTTCATATAAGCCACTTTTTATACCAAATGATCAACTAGAAGTCAAGTAGTCAAGTTATTATTTGTTGTTCCTAAAACTTGGATAGGCCACAAGACTTGTCACGTAGTCTAGTTACCTTAAAATAAAAATAAGTGAACCCAATAAATAATTTTTTTCAGTGTACCCAGACCATCGCCAACTGATGACCCAATGAAGCTCAATGGCCAACCATTAGTTTGTTGTGTCCTGCCCTTTACAGATCATGTGATAACACAAAAAAATGACATGATGGGATGACATTAATAGATAAACCAGTGGACCAACCACATTGCACAACATCTGAAATTTCTAAAGTTCCTTAACCAAAGTCTTTCATCAAAGTGGTTCTGTATTATTACCTCACAGAACGGTCTTGAGCATCTGCACTCCCAAAGAGTGGTCTCATGCCTACAAAAGCCACTGCAGATGGATTGTGTTTCATCTTCTGATATATAATGAAAAAGACCTACAGTGGCTTTTCCAAACCAGTAAATTACCTTTTTCTTTTCAATATTTGATGCCGGTTTAATAGGAAGTAACATTTTTTGTCACTTCATTGGCTCATTGGAGAGAAACATTGACTTATTTGCTAATTCTTTATGCAATATTCCAGTTTTGCACATAAATCTAATTTGCATCTTTGCACGGAAACATAGCTAGTGACTTCAACCTTTAAAAGAAGCAGTTTTAGCTGGAATGTAATGTGTTAACATGGTGGAACCACATTAACACAGTAGACATGCTCTAAAGTCATAATAACCTCAAATAAATTTTTGTACTCCTATTACTGTGCAAATTATAATGCAACACCATTAGTGCTTGCAGAAAAGGGCACTTTTTCACAGCAAGGGAGGAAATAAGTCTGTTTCTCAAGGAGGTACAGCTATGGTCTTTAAGAGAGGTCAAATTAAATATTTTAGCCATGGTCAGCAGTTAGTTCTCTGTTCCCTGCGGAGAGAAAGTGAAATGATCCAAGGCAATAGCATAAAGCAGAAACTCACTCCAGCTTTATCCTGCTTGGGCTGTGGGAAGGAGACTTAGGAAGGCTGCATGTGCACAAATAGAAATGTGTTTAGAGGGTTTGAAAAGAATTGGGTCAGTTTCAGTCAAGCCGAAGGGGCATCTGAATATCAATACTTTCCACTGATGTAAGTGTTTTAGTTATATTATAAAAAAAAAAAAAAATCAACTGTCTTATATTTATGTAGCATAAAACATATCTTTCATCTTACCATGTGCAGAAAGACACAAGCAACCGGTCATAAAGCACTCACCCCACTGATGCTTCACTTATCGCATTCATTCAAACAGAGACTTCTGCTTTCCAAAGGCTGACAGAAACATCTTTCCATAAAGCAACAACATATATAATATAATATAATATAATATAATATAATATAATATAATATAATATAATATAATATAATTTTCTTTTAGTCCATTAATCAGGGGTCACCACAGCGGAATGAACCGCCAACTTATCCGGCATATGTTTTAGACAGCGGATAGCGTTCCAGCTGCAAAGTAGCACAGGGGAACACTCATAAACTCTTGCATTCGCACACATACACTACGGCCTACCTAGTTTATTCAATTCACCTAAAGTCTTTGGACTATGGGGGAAAACCAGACCACCCGGAGGAAACATACACCAACACGGGGAGAACATGCAAACTTCATAAAGAAATGCCGGCCCTGTGGGGTTTCCCTGAAGTCCAAGCACATGCTGTATAGCTGAATTGAATAAGCTAAATTAGCTGTAGGATAAGTGTAAATGCAAGAGTGTATGGGTGTTTCCCAGTGTTGGGTTGTGGCTGGAAGGGCATCCACTGCGTAAAACATATGCTGGATAAGTTGGCGTTTCATTCGGTTGTGGCGACCCCTGTTTAATAAAGGGACTAAGTCGAAGTAAATTGAATGAATAAATGGTAAGCCACATAAGCTAAATTGAGAGAAAAGTATAATGAATAAATAATATAATAAATTGATGGGTAATTTATTACTGATTTAAATTATATCAAATTTGAAGTTGGTTATTTCTCATTGATAAATCATAAACAAAAACAGAAGTCTGATCATATGCAGTTAAGCAAAATGTTAAACGGCGATAAAAAATAATATTGCAAATAATATTCAAATGAGCATATTTACTAAACTTGTCTGTGAACTATGAGAGCAAAAAAAAAATAATAAATAAACAAAATAGTCATTCAGGTACATGTTAGAGAGAATTGTCTATATTATTCCCTATAAAGTATAAAAGTATACATTTTTAAAAGTATATTGCCCCATTTTTTCCATAATTTCAGAGTAATAATAATAATTATAATAATAATAATAATATGATAAATGTAAAATCAATTGTAAAATAATGTACAATTAAAATATTAATAGCTGTGATCCATATATCTTAAAAAAGAGAATACTATTATCTGAATATGCTTGCAGCGTGCACATCTATATATGGTATAAATAAATAGGTTTACTAAAGACAAGTATAGTCTAAAGTTAGTCAAAAAAAAAAAGAATAGACAGTTATTTCGTGGCTGGTTTGATGGCATATGCAATTTTAGGTTTTTCTATTTCAGATGCAAAATCTATGATAGTAATTTTAACATGATTTAATAAGGTCTGTGGTAGTCGACTTACTGTACATCTGTCATGATTTAAAAGCTAAAAAAAGCATGCCCTATTAGATTTTGTGTTTGTGTTGTTAGTAGATTAAACACATGATTATCATTGCATATGCTTGTCTGCAACATCATTTGTGTTAGTCATTAAAATAGCTGCAATGCTTTTTAATTTGCACATTGGATGGATCTCTCGCAAAACTTCCCACTTCTATCAGCATTTCATGGTATTATATACCTACCTTTTTTGCCCTATTTAGTAAATCTGTCCCCATTTCAGTATTTTACATAGTACTGATATGCAGGATGCAAATTATAGAGGGGGGGGGGTGACTTCCTAATTGACGCTTGATCCCCCCTGAAGGACATCCAAAACAAAATGTATAGAGGGGTCAGCTCTCTAATACTGAGAAAAATTTGCTCTGCTTTGTAGTTTAAATAATTAATTAATTCATTTTCTTTATGGCTTGGTCCCTTTATTAATCCGAGGTCACCACAGTGGAATGAATCGCCAACTTATCTAGCATATGTTTTATGCAGCGAATGCCTTTTCCAGCTCCAACCCATCACTAAGAAACATCTATACACTCTAATTCACACACATACACAATAGACAAATTAGCTTAGCCAATTCATCTAAAGGGGCCAGAGCACCCAGGAGAAACCCATTCAAACACAAGGAGAAAATGCAAATTCCACACAGAAATGCCAACTAACCCAGCTGAGGCTCAAACCAGCAACCTTCTTGCAGTGAGGCAACACCGTGCCGCTATTTTAAATAATAATGTTAATAATTAAATTAATAAAAGAAATAAAATGTATATATTGATTATGAATATATATATATATATATATATATATATATATATATATATATATATATATATATATATATATATATATATATATATATATATATATATATATATATATATATAAAATAAAGATTTGACCATCCCTATAATGGTTCATACCACTGTGAATGCATAATCGTGTCAATCAGTCTGTTAGAAAAAACTCATTCAACGGTCTAAAACCGGCAGATCTAGAGCACCGGAAAAAAAACCTACTGTAACTTTTCACAAAAGTTTTCTTGTAAAATAGCTGTTTATTTCTACATATAGCCTAAAAGTAAAGTCAAATTAGATACATTTTTTGACTTGAAGTAACTTCAAAAGTAGCTAATCGGATACTGTAAGTCAGGATTCACTAAATATCCCACAAAACACTGAAAACTTAAATACATTTTTTTAAAAACTAGATGTAATTTAAATAAATTTTCCCAGAGATGGGTTGCTGCTGAAAGGGCATCCGCTGCGTAAAAACTTGCTGGATAAGTTGGCGGTTCATTCCACTGTGGTGACCCCGGATCAATAAAGGGACTAAGCCGACAAGAAAATGAATGAATGAATTTAAATAAATACATACAATTGGATTTACCTAACATTACTGAAAAAGTTGACCCCCCCGATCGTCAAGGCATAATTCGCACCCTGCTAATATGGTATTACATTGACACTCCATGTGTACTGATACTGACCTTCATACTATTGATCCCAGATTATCCATACTCATCTGGCGCACTATAAACCCTTTTGTAAGCATTACAAATCAACTTTTTTTTTTCAGGTAACTGAGACGGGTGAAGTGGATATGCAGATGGTGGACTCTCAGATATGGATTCCAGCCGAAGAGCCCATCTCCAACAAAACATTCCTGTCAAATTCCAAGATTGGGGAGATTTGCCAAGACCTCCCCATCCACTGGATCCACCCATCTCCTCTCAGAGGTTAGAAACAGGGCTTCACCAACTTGAAATCCAATTCAACAACAGTAATAAGGTTTCAGAATAGCCCAAGAGTCAAGTCTGTAATTTCTTTTGCCCTCAACTGTTTGCTTGTACTTCCTTTCGGTAGGAAGAAAAAAAATCCTTATAACACACACACACACACACACACACACACACACACACACTAAATGTCGTAGACAATATGTTCATTATCTAATTAAGGATACCATACACCATGTTAAAGAAAGATTAATCCACAAACTAACGTTTATTACTGGATTTTTTAAATGCGGGCATAGGAAGATTAAAGATGTGGCATTTATTATAATGGGTATATGTAATGATCATTTAACCTTCTAGGGCTTAGTGGCCACATGTGTGGACAGCACATTTAAGCTCTTAAATGGCTATTTAAAATACTTTGAAAGTTTTATATTTTGTTACAGACGTACAGTGTCATCCTGCAACTGTTTTTGAGCATATGAAATGTCCCAAACACTATTTTTAACAGTCCAAATTGGGGGAAAATGTTGTTTTTACTCTCTGATAGTCGAAGCAAGTTCAAAAAATGTATATGCTACGTATGTATTAAAAAACAGTCAGGAAAAAGTGTTTTATGTAAATTGGGACAACGAGTCCACATATATGGACATCATTTTTCTCTAAAAGTACATCATATCAAAAGATGATTCTTAGGTTTTATTTCTAATTAGGTTCCAATAAGCCCAAATACCGATGAGAAATAAAAAATGCATGTAAAAACACCTTGGGCATTAAGAGGCTTATAATCCTAATTATTTAAAACTGGAAATGTTTTAATTGTTGATGATAATTGGTTAACATAACAGAAGCCTGGTCATCTGCAGTTAAGCAAATTGTTAAATGGCTGTAATTGCTAACATTTTATCCTCAGATCACAATCAATATTAGTCAACATTAATGTATCACTTCCATGTTTATCCTATAGTGGCCACCAAATCGTCTCAGTCACGTGCAGGGGCGACCCTAGGGGTGAAAAGTTAGGACGATTCTAAGGGGCCCACACATTTAGGGGCCCGCGACTACTGCGATCCCACCCCCCCTCCTTTCATCTGTATTCACGCCCTTCGCTTGACAGAGAGCCTGTGGCGGCCAGCAGCGCCCCTGATCACATGGTTGTGGTGACATGCAAAATTCAGATGGAGGGCAGGAAGTAAAAAACTGAATGGGAGACAAAGAGGAAAGTCTGTATTTTTGCGATTTATACCATATTTCAGAGGAGATATAAATAGAAAACAACCACATATGTTGGGCATTATCCTTAAATCATTAAGAGGGACGAGTTTTTTACTGAACACATTTATTTTCCTGTCATCGAGGTGGTAGATACTGTATAAGCTGTTATGTTACATGAAAAAATACTACAGTAAATATGATAGTGTTTGGAAGCATGCTATAGATAATTAATTGAATTAAACTGTCATAGTAATTATATTGTTGCTGTGGTACAGCGCAACTGTAGTAAAAAACTAATTATTCAATAGGCTTCAGTTATCTTCACTTTAATTATACACAATCACAATGCACCACAGTTTACACTAACATCACAGTATTTATTACAGTTTATTTAATTCAATTCATCTTTATTTCTATAGCGCTTTTACAATGTAGGTTGTGTCAAAGCAGCATTACATAGAAGATTATAGTAAATTGAAGCAATGTCGGTCCAGTTTTCAGAGTTGAAGTTCAGTTCAGTGTGGTTTAAGTTTCATTGCTGAAAGTCCAAACACTGAAGAGCAAATCTATCGATGCACAGCTCCACAAGTCCTGAACCATGCAAGCCAGTGGCATTTATCAGTTTACTATACTACAGTATTCTGTAACATTCGTTAACAAAAGAGTTGTACTCATTACACAATTTACTATGCAAAGTTTATTCATAAACTAATTTCGAGAGGATCACGTGCTTATGATTTATCACAGCCGGTCTCGAATTTGCTAATCCGTATCTTCCAATCGTTCGAGCCCTAAGCTACTATAAATAACCACAGTTTTCAGTTCACTTTATCTTCGTTAGGAAGAAACCCCTCTCCTCCCCTTTTTCTCCTCCTTTACCTCTGACTGGGCGACACGGCGGCCCAGTGGTTAGCACTGCGAGCCCCACAGCAAGAATGGAAAGTGGGTGTTTCTGTGAGGAGTTTGTATGTTCTCCCCGTGTCCGTGTGGGTTTTTCCTGGGTACTCCGGTTTCCTCCCACCATCCAAAGACATTCAACAAGCATAACAACTAAGCATTTATCTAACCCTCGTGTTCCCTTGGCTACCGCAGCGGGGGAGTTCTGAGATCCACTGAGCTCAGGCTCCCCTCTCGCTCTGCCAAACGGGAGGAAGCCTCGGACTCGAAGAGTCCTTGAGCTCGGGGCTCTCTCCCGGGACAGCATGCCAAACAAGCTTTATAAATCATCAGCTAAGTGTGAACTCTTGAAGTGCTTAAAAAACATGTTTATTAAAAATTACTATAACTTTAGTTTTTTCCCCATGCAGATATCTTCCAGACATCACAAAATAACAGATGAAAGCATACAAAAGGGTGGACGCATTGTCTACATTATATTCTTTCTTTATTTTTGTAAGGGGGAATAAACTTAATGAACTTACCATCAACAAACATTTAACGCTGCTGCGCATTTTGATGTTCACGTTACGGTTGTTTATTCTGCCGAAACGCCAGTAAAGATTTGGATTATTGCAAAACAAGATGAAGCGATTACACGGCAGGGTAACGTTATGTCATTTACACTCTTCTGGATTTTGTAAGTGTGTTGGTGTTTATATCAGATTTTTTTATAACACATGAACATATTAATACTCATAGCTAAGCCTGTGTATAATATTTATTGGTGCTATCAAACGAATTATCGCGTCAAAAAGAGTTTGTAGACATGGATTTATTTAAAAAATGTTTTAAATAAATGTCGCCATTTCTTTCGTTTTTCAGCCAGTTTCTTAAACTTCCCCCTTTTATGAGCCAAAACCTTTGGAGTTCTATAACAGCTGTTTGCCATTTTTTTATTTTGGCTTTAAACAATTATAAACAACATGAAACAGACATATTTTGATGTTCTGATAGCAATTCCTGTGTAGATGAATCACTTCCTGCCCTCCATCTTAATTTCGCACGTCATGAGAAAACAACCCATACTCATCTTAAAATCTTGAGGAAACTTCTCAATATGGAACACAGCAGTATTGCTACATTGTGTTTTAAAGCCCATGCCATGCTATTTTTATTATACATGACAAATAATAGATTTTTTAGCATCATCATCTATACTTCTGTTATGCAGATTCTGAGTTTCACGATATAGATGATGTTGAAGAGACCCCAGAGCTGGAAGCAAGAGGTCCGCGTCAGGCCCGAGACGTCATGGACCACTTACCAGTAAACGACTATGTAAGTATGAGGACTAAAAGGCACATTCAAACTGCGGTTGAGCGGGATAGTCATGCTCTTTTTCTTGGTATAAATCGTTCATTAATCGAAGTTCCCTTTCGGAACTTAAAACAGATCATGTGGACCGCAGGGCATTGAAATTGCTCTATATATCTGCTTAAATCAGGCCAGTTCACTTAAGACTCCCTTAATGTCTTGCAGCTAATGGAGAGGGATATTTAGCCTTCAAAGGAAGCAAGTTTGCCTTGCACAATTTTTCTTGCCTCTCTTATGTAGTTAGCGATGTACAAAGACAGCCTCCCAAGGTCACTCATTAATGAAGAGATAAATGTATTAATCATGCTTTAATTATCAAGGCATAACGAAGCGCCCGGCCAAAGAGTGTCCTTTATTGCATTCAGGAAGTCAAGCATATGTTCAATGATTAATTATCCTTAAGTCGCACGCACTAATGCTTCACACACCTACGATACACACCTCCCCAACTGGCGAGCGACTTCTAGACTCCCAAGGATGAGAAGACTGAGAAAAGAAGAACTTTTATCTGCAGAGGCCCAGGAACGTCTTTCCTGCCCACCTCATCCAGCAACACGGCGTTCCATATAATTAAAGCAAACCCAGATGAAACCACCTTTCCCTTTTGAAATCCTCTCCTTCTATCGGCTGGTTAATACGCAGCAATCCAGCCAATTCCAAGGCTAAGCACAGACCGGCTGTGTTTGTGGGCAGAGCGATAACAAAGGCTTTTGTGCACGTCAGAGGGGATGTGGCTCCCAATAATTGGAGTCTGGAGTCATGTAGATGCTGCTGGGAAGCCAGATATCCCAGACCTTTCAGAGGATCCTAGACGCGAGCTCTTATTTAGCTCTCCCACCGGCAGGCGTCGGCAGCTGGAGGAGGGAATTCATATTTTGCTACAGGTCTCTTCCTGTTGTGCCGTTTTTTATAATCATCAAAGTTCCAGTGACAGAAGCCTGAGATATATATACGAGGCTGACCTTTCCCCAGTCCTGCCACGCTGATGCGTTGTGTGCCAGCACAGCTCTGGATATCTTTCAAACTGAATAACTATCATCTGGCTGCGCTGAGAAATTGCATCATGGTCCTTGACCTACATTGGGAGGATAAGCCTCTGATGATTGGGTCCGGTCGAAACTCAGACTTCTGCGCCCGCCGCAGTTGTTGATGCTAGGCTTTGTGACCCTGCTTCGTGTCCTGGCTGAAAGCACTCTGGCTTGCAGATCGTTGATTAAACCTGTATCCTCACCACCACTGTGTGAACTTAAGATGCACTGTCTGCTGAAGGCCAGATGAATTTACTAAAAGACATAGTTTTCCCAAAACTGAAAATTGACTCATCTATTATTCACTCTCAAATGCTTCTATACCTTTATGAGTTTCTTTTTTTGTTGAACACAAAAGAAGATATTTTGAATAATGTTACAAACTTGTAACCAATGACTTTCATAGTAGGAAAAACAAATATGGAGGTCACTGGTAACAGGTTTCTAACATTTTTGAAGTGAAGGGTGAGTAAATGATGACAGAATTTTCCATTTTGGGTGAACTATCCCTTTAAGATGCTAAAATAAAACAAATAATTCTTTGATGATTAATTAGATTTTTTTTAGGTCTTTGTAAAAAAAAAAGTAAATGAAATGTAAATGAAAAGATGTAAATTATAAATCAAAACTACATGAGGCGTGTATTTTGAATAGGTTAACCCATTAACTAGCCCACCGGGAAATAAAAAATTGGATTGCATTTCTTAACTCTTAATGTCGCTAGTTAACACACTCAATGCACTTTTTTTTTCCAACACATCCCATAATTTTTAAAATAACAACTTTTACCAAATGGTTCATATGTCAGTTTGTGGTAAAGAAACTGGTTTTAATACATATACTATGAAAAGTTAAAAACAAGAGAAAAAACATTATCAAAATGTAACATTTTTGAATACTAAATCATCTTTGTTTTTTTGAGGTATGCCATAAAATATTTCAGATTCTCATTTAACACTCGTTTACTTGTTTTTTTTTTTAATACAATAAAACCAAAATCAAGTGTAGTAGTGCAACAGGATTGTTTTGATTTTGATTAGATTTTTTTGTAAACCAACAATGGTGTGTAGTGTAAACCATTATTTAAAACAGTCATTCTTTAAATGACTTTAACAGACATTTATAACAGTCAAAATATAGATAACCATTTGGTAAAGCAGGCAGTTAAAGGGTTAAAAAAAATTGTGGACACCACAAAATAAGCGTTGTTGACATGCCTACATAAACAACCATATCCATAATAATCAATAACTACATTAACATTCAAAGTTTGGAGATGAAAAAAAGCATTTACATATACATTACTTATAAATGTTGTGTAATAAAATGAAGTGACAGTGAATATGTATTGAACACATGACGAAAAAGAGGTGTAAAACAGCATGAAAATCTCAGACAGCAGCTGAAATCTCTCAGTAAAAAAGAAAAACAAAAAAGCTGCTAGAATGGCCCAGCCATTCACCTGACCTCAACCCAATAGAACATTTTTAAAATGTTATTTCTGTGGCAGCGAAATTTACAATAGCCATTAATTTACACTGACAAGTTTTGTACACTAAATGTGCTCACAAATTACAAGTGAGAGGTTTCTGAATGAAGGGTCCATAACTTGATTTTAAAATAATTGAAGGAAACACACACTATCTACTATCTATGATTATTTATTGAACATCAAAGTTGAACAACTGAAATTAAAACACACATGGCCTAAAACGAACAGTCACTTTTTTTCTTATTAAAAAAAGTGAAAAATAAATAACTTGCATTTTGGAAGCAAAATAAATTATCATCAGTGTTTTAAAAGTAGAAAATAATCAGTATCACTTCTCAATAAAACAACTCTTGAATATCCTGTAAATAATATTTTAAACATGTATTTAATCTTCTGTAAACAAATATTTTAATGTAAATACTAATTTTAATGTAATGGAAAATAAGCTCTCTTGAGGCATTTCAATCATCGTCAGTGTAGTGCAAAGTAAGACTCAAAAATAAGTCCATGGTCTTACTTGACCTGAAATAAGATGTGGTCGGCAGAAATATAAATCTGACTTTAACACAGCAGGGCGTGACTCCATATGTGGCAGAAAAAGTAATTGAAAAAATCGTCCTGGAAAAATTTGGCCGATTATAGCTTTTGAATGTCGATTTAAATTACTTTTCGATTATTTGCCCAGCCCTCAATGTTAAAAACAGTAGTGCAGCCTAATATTATTGTGGAGGATTTAAAGATGATATTAAGTAAAAAGAACAGAATTTTCAGCAAAAGTGACTTTATTGATACTTTTGGTCAACTTTTAGATGTCCTTGAAGAATTAAATAAGTTATTAAAAAAAAAAAATCTTACTGACCCCAAACTTTTGCACAGCGATGAATCAAACCACAATCATTTCAAACATATAAGTGTAATACCAACTTTCTTCACCCTTGAACATAATTCCCACAAGCATAAAGACGCACTCCTCCACAGGTGTTCACTGATGGTTCAGCTTCAACGATAATTAAATTCCACTATTCAAAGAATGCAAATGCTTTTATTGCAAACAGCATGTATGGAATTGATTTACAAATAAATAACCTGCAAAAGAGGTATTTCTCCATCGTTTGCTTGCTGTTAAATGTGCTTGCCACAAGAGACTTCTTGTGTGTTTGCATACACTTCTATTAGTTACTGTCAGTTTTACTGTCAAACTGATCAGAATGAAGCATGGATGTTGTCAAACTAGTGTTAAAATAATAATAAATAGTTGCTAGAAAAATAATTCCATAAATGTCTGCATGATATTTCAATCAAATTCAAAACATATACTCAGGAGATGTGTGGCTTTTGACTTATTAATTTTCTATGTTACTCCAGGACTAATTTCATATATTTGTTTATGAAATAATAAAATGTTTAGTGCGGTGCAATTTTTTTTACATTAATTTAGCATCTATAACTTGTTTTTTTTTTTATTTTGAGCATTATAAACTCTGGATGATGGATAATAAAGCCCAAAGTGTCTTCTTTCCAAAGATACATGAACTGTGAATCTAGACCAAATCATTCAGCAACTGTTACTGTTTTAGTTTGGGAAGATAATTTTTGAGAAAATACCTCTGATGTTGAGGGAGAGAAGGACATCCATACACAGTGCATCCTGAGAGTATTCACAGCGGAATTCACCTTTTTCACATCTTTTATGTTACAGCCTTATTCCAAAATGGATTAAATTAATTTATTTCCTCAAAATTCTATGCACAATACACCTTAATGAAAACGTGAAAAAAAGATTTTTTGAAATTGTTGCAAATTTATTAAAAATAAAAAAAACCTGAAAAATCACATGAGTATTAAAAGGGTTGGGTCCATATATAGACAGGTGTATGCCTTTTCAAACCATGTCCAATCAACCCAGACAGTGCATGTCAAAGCACAAACCAAGCATGAAGGCAAAGGAATTGTTTGTAGACCTCCAAGACAGGGTTTTCTTAAGGCACAAAGCTGGGGAAGTATACAGAAACATGTCTGCTGCTCTGAAAGTTCCATTGAGCACAGTGGCCTCCATCATCCTTGAGTGGAAAATTTTTGGAACCACCAGCAGTCTTTCTATAGCTGGCCGGCCAACTAAACTGAGTTATCGGGGGAGAAGTCAGGGAAGTGATCAATAACCCGATGGTCACTCTGTCTGAGCTCCAGAATTCTTCTGTGGAGAAAGGAGAACCTTACAGCAGGACAACCGTGCAACAAACTACCAATCAGGTCTGTTTGGTAGAGTGGCCAGACGGAATCCACTCCCCACCTGGAGTTTCCCAAAAGGCATCTGGGGTGACGGTTCATCTTCGAGCAGGACAATGACCCAAAGCACACCGCCAAAATATCAATGGAGTGGCTTCACAACAACTCTGTAAATGTCCTTGAGTGGCCCAGCCAGAGCCCAGACCTAAATCCTATTGAACATCTCTGGAGAGATCTGAAAATGGCTGTACACAGAGAAATGGCTGCATCTGGTTTCCCATTCAAACTGATTTTGAAATGAGCTTGAGAGGTACTGCAAAGAGGAATGAGCAAAAAATTCCCAAAGACAGGTGTGCCAAGCTTGTGGCATCATATTCAAAAAGACTTGAGGCTGTAATTGCTGCCAAAGGTGCATCAACAAAGCATTGAGCAAAGGCTGTGAATACTGATGTACAAGTGATTTTTCAGCTTTTTTTTTTTTTTTTAAATTTGCAACAATAAACAATGAATGAATTATTCCATTTTGGAATATGTCTGTAAGATAAAATATGTGGAAAAAAGTGAAGCGCTATGAATACTTTCTAGATGCACTGTAGTCTCTGAAAACCTTTTACAGAAATATTATTTTGCATGCTATCTTCATCAAATTTGAAATATAAACACTGGCCTTTAAGGCATATTTTTTTTCTAGGACATTTCATCAATGTTTTCCAGTGTTTACATATGGAAAAACAAATAATGAACACAGTAAAAGTGAGAGCTGGCTAACAGGTTAAATAAAACAAATAGTGTGTTAAACATATTTGATTATGGTTAAGATGTTAATGAGTTAACTTTGACAAGCTCTGAAAAAAAAATTAATAAAAAAATGACTAATGCCATTTTTCTTTAAATGAATTAAACTCTTTTGGGCAACAGTGCATATTTAGTGCCTTGATTAGCACCAAGATAGTGTGAAGTTTAAGATAATTTATCCCTCAGTAATCACGGCCTATGAAATAAATCCACAGGGTGTCAAATTGTGAATCAACGCTATGATGTGCCAGGCCATAATAAATGAGGAGTTTTCCTACTTTCTCACATTAAATGCTAGTAAATCATGCTTTACAGGCTGTAACACCGAACATAACAGAGAACACGACAGGCTTTGTGAGGCAAATACAAAACACTATAGTCAGCTATAGGAACCTGCTCTTAATTATTCATACTAGTTTATGCATGACTGACATCATGTCCCTGAATACTTTATTCCTTGTCATCTCTGCAACATACAGTACAACAAACTGACACATAGAGTCTCTAATATGAAGTTATTAACACTCACTTACTCATTGCAGCAGGATAATCAGTTTGATTAATATGCCTCTGTAGAACAATACTATTCATAGTCTGCTTCATCCTAATCACACATCATTTCGCTCTAAAAATCTTATTTTTCCAAATAACATCCACCTTTATGCCGGCAGGGGGTTTTCTGTGAAGGTCTGATAAAGCAAACTGCACTACGCTGACAGGCTTTGTGCTGTTTCCAAAATGAATTGTTGCCTCAACACTCTTGACCCTAAACCTGACAAACATTATGAATCAGTAATTGTCTTTGTGCATTTGCGAGCGTAATAAATCAAACAGTACAGGCATCACCCTGCTTTCGCTCGCACTATAGTCTAGTCATTAGGAGAATGCAATTTTCCCTCCATTCATCATTGCATAGTGAGCTCATGAAAACTCATACATGCTTCGTTTATGGAGAACATAATGAGAGATGGGACTCCAGAGGAGAAACGCATGCCATTATGCATCTTCACACGCACGGGCGCATTATAACTCACCCCGCTTCATTTCAAACCCCCCAAAAAAGATCAATAATGATAATAATGCACTCGTTTATGCAAGACAAACACCGCGTATGGCCATTTTAAATGCAATTTTCGACCGGGCGTCACATTTCAGAGTGATTTTCCTACCCTCACGTTCATTTGCGTCATTTCCCAACAGGAAGTCTGAAGCGTTGCCAGACAACCAGATGAGATATGGCTTCATCTGCCAATCTAATGCAGATCAGCAGAGGCGACTAGGTCCACAACAGTGTTTTTAATCACATCATCCTGTCTGTGTCGTAAGCTCGGGGAGATCGAAATGCAGTCAAATGAAACAGCGCGAGTCGAGGGCGCTATCTGCTCCAACAGTTACGGGAGATAGAAAGTTAAGTGGCACTTCTAGGAGCCCATCTCTGCGTAGCGGCTGATCAAAGGCATGGCACTCAGCCCTGGGTAATCTGGAGAGGGCATGCGTATACCATCACAATGGAGAGGGCCAAGGGCCATTAATTCTAGCCAATTTACCTTTCACTCGGCTTTCATTTAGCCCTTACACCAATTCACACCCTGCCTGCGAGAGCAAATAAACCGATCCTTGTTGGGCGATCATTACCCCGCTAATTGCTGTAAGAACGTGCCATTCGCTTTATGCCAAAGTCAAAGGAGGGCATAGGGGAGAGTTCTCATTTCGGAGCTCAAATGAGGCCGGGGTCACTGCTCGGACTGAGGCGCCACTGCTCTGCCTTTATGGGAAGCCTGGGAGGAAAGAAATAGTGTAATTATCTCAGCGTCTGCCAGCGACTGAGAACGGACAGGCAGCGGGGTTAAGTGACTCCAATCGGAGATAGCAAAGACGTGCAGGGTAATGGAAAGGTCAAGGGCATTGCATTATATTATATTTAGGCTTATGATGGTATCAGATTTTCTTGTTGCGATTAATTGCATAAGCTCTGATCACGGTATACTGTATTATTGTGATATTTAGCTGCAAAATCCAAAGCTAACAAGTATAATAGCCAAAAATAGTGTATTGCTATACTGTGTACACGTTCAGAGTAAACAAATGTTTCAACTAAATTTTGCACTCATACTTCTACTTGCTGAAGCATTTATCACGACATACAGTGTTATCACGATATTAACCTAAACTGTAAACAATGTTACTTTGACAAATATAATAACCAAAACACTTGGTGTATTTCTATAATGTGTACACGTTCAGAGAAAACTAATGTTTCAAAAAAATTAGCATTTATTATACTACTACTATTAAATGCTAAAGCTTTTATCAAGGTATAAGATATTATCGTGATATTGACCAAAGCTGCAGAAAAGGTTATTTCAACAAATATAATAACCAAAAATACTTAGTGTACTGCTATATTTTATTCATGTTTAGAGTAAACAAATGTTTCAACTACGTTTTGCATTCATTATATTACTACTATTAATTGCAGAAGCTTTTGTAAAAAAACATATGGTAATATCATGATATTGAACTGGGCTACAAAAAAGTTACTTTAATAAATATAATAGCCAAAAACGCTTTACTTTTTCAGAGTAAACTAATGTTTCAACTAAATTTTGCATTCATTATACTACTACTATTATTTGCTGAAGCTTTTATCGTGGTATACGGTATTATCATGATATTGACCAAAGCTGCTAAAAAGGTTACTTTATGAAATAAAATAACCAAAAATTCTTAGGGTATTGCTATATTTTATACACGTTTAGAGAAAATAAATGTTTTAACTAAATTGTGCATTTATTATATTACTACTATTAATTGCTGAAGTTTTTATTATGACATACAGCATTATCGCAATATTGAACTGAGCTGAAAAAACAGTTACATTAACAAACATTATAACAAAAAATATTAAGTGTGTTGCTTTATTCTGTACATTTGTTCAGAGTAAACAACAGTTTAAACAAACTTTTGTGTACATTATATTACAACTATTAATTGCTGAAGCTTTTATTACGATATCCGGGATTATCGCAATATTGAACTGAGCTGCAAAAAAGGTTACTTTAACGAATATAATAGCTAAAAATACTTTGTGTATTGCTATATTGTATACACATGTTTAGAGTAAACTAATCTTTCAACAACATTTTTTCATCTATTATACTACTACTAATTATTGCTAAAGCTTTTATAACAAAAAAACATAAGGTATTATCGTGATATTGAACTGTGCTGCAAAAAAAGTTACTTTAACAAATATAATAGCCAAAAATACTTAACTTTACTTTTTCAGAGTAAAGTAATGTTTCAACAAAATTTTGCATTCATTTTAATATTAATTGCTGAAACTTTTATCACGATATACGGTACTATAGACTACATGTTCCAATTTTTTTTTTTAAGTTAACTAAAATTAGTTGCAAAAGGATTAGAAAATACAATAGGTAACACTTCACAATAAAGTCTTATTATTATATATTAGTTAAAGGATTAATATCCCTCTGTTTATTGCAGTTGCTTTTTTAATATTAGCTGAAGTAATACAAATGGTTCTGATTAGATATTAACTCCTTTTAATATAACGATTATGACTTAATAAGATTAAAAATTTTAATGCATTCATAGGCATTAACTAAGAAATTACCATCACCTAAGATTTAAAAAAATCATTTTTATTGTGAGTTTAGTAAATTTAACTAATGCTTTTTTACTCACTGTTAATGTACAATTGCCGTATAAATAATCAGAATTTTAACAGAAATTTTATTCAATATTTCAGCATGTAGGCTAGATTAACCTTACAATGTTTTTAAGTTATTAATTGCATATTTTTGGTGCATTTATGAACACCACTGTGATACAATGTTATTTTAAAAACAACTCTAAATGTTTATGTAATAATTATTTAATGCATTTTGAAGTGTCCATGATATCAATAGTGTACATGATCACAATATACTGAATTACTAAATATTGAAATGCGTCTAATCATATCTGATTCCCTTGCTTGGCACCTCTAAAACATCTACTGTAAATGCCACTCTGATCACTAGGGTATATCAGAGCATGACAGGAGTTTTTGTCATTGCATTCCTACAACCTTTAATAACTCTTCAGGAGCACTGCACCTTTTTTTATTGCTAAAATCACGCTATCTGTCAAGCGGCATGTGGTGAGATTGCAGGTATTGTTTGGCTGTGGTTCTGACCCTGTTGACTCTCTCTCTTCACAGAGTGAAATGGGGCTGGAGCTGGACAACAGCCTAGATGAGCGAGGCTACTGCTGCCAGTACTGCCGCCGTGGGTACCGTTACTGTCGGCGATACTACGAGCCCCTGGGTGGCTTTTGGCCATATCCCTACTATTACCAGGGAGGACGGGTAATCTGTCAGATTGTCATGCCCTGCAACTGGTGGATAGCACGAATGCTGGGACGAGTTTGAGGATGCCGGAGGGAACCAGAGGTGCTATGCTGCTCAGGGGTTTGCATAGACAAGCTTTTACACTTGTACAAAAAGTCACATAAACACTCAAGGATTTTTTCATCCTCTGTGTAATAAAAACCAAAATTATGTTAAAATAATGCAAAACATTGCTCGATTTTCAATTGAGCGATTTTTTTTCATAATATATGTTACTTGTTAGATGAGGGAAATTATATATCTCAGGTTCTATGGGTTTGTATGTTCCCCCCCACATAATCACCTATTAGCATTCATTAGTTTAATTTGTGGTACAACAAATGATTTCTTTTTTAATAGTACAAATATACTGCACGTCAGGCTATTTTCAACAGCGTTTGCTTGTAATTATTATGCATGCAGTTTTTATGAGCATATTAATTTTGAAACCACATGGAATATTAGTCTCTCAATTAGCATGGTTGTAAAAACTGTTATTATATAATTAACTGTTTAAAACAAAGCTAGATGGAGTCTATCATATTAAAATGGAAGTAATCCATGGCAACTACCCACATATACATGGCTTATACATAGTTGAAGTCAGAATTATTAGCCCCCCTGAATTATTGGCCCCCCTGTTTATTTTTTTCCCCAATTTCTGTTTAACGGAGAGATTTTTTCAACACATCTCTAAACATAATAGTTTTAATAACTCATCTCTAATAACTGATTTATTTTATCTTTGGCATGATGACAGTAAATAATATTATACTAGATATTTTTCAAGACACTTCTATACAGCTTAAAGTGACATTTAAAGGCTTAACTAGGTTAATTAGGTTAACTAGGCGGGATAGGGTAATTTAGCAAGTTAAGTTTAGCAAGTGTATAATGATGGTTTGTTCTGTAGACTATTGGAAAAAATAGCTTAAAGGGGCTAATAATTTTGTCCCTAAAATTGTGTTTAAAAAATTAAAAACTGCTTTTATTTTAGCCAAAATGAAACCAGTAAGACTTTCTCCAGAAGAAAAAATATTAGCAGACATACTGTGAAAAATTCCTTGCTCTGTTAATCATAATTTGGGAAATATTTAAAAAAAGAAAAAAAAAAATCAAAGGTGGTCTAATAATTCTGACTTTAAGGGTGTGTTGGGGCTGCATGACACTAGAAAAATCTGACATTGTGATATACAGTACATTGCAATATATTGTATTTATCTATAAAAGTCCAAGAAATGATTGAATAGCACAATTTAAAAATTATTTTTGTTCACACTTTATTTTAAGGTTCAATTCTTGCTTTTAGGAAACATTATGACATTTACTTCAATAAACTCCTAATTTGCTCCTTATTAATTGTTATCGAAAAATGTAATGAACTACAAGCATAGATAAATGCAACAAAGCAAAGATAAAAAATAAAATAAACACTGCATTCATTATGGTTTTGCATATGTAAATGTAAAAATTAAGATGCATAGTCAACTCAACATTGCATATTATCTATGCGATGTGACCATTGTGGATGCACACATTACAATATCGATCATGCTATAATAATATGTTGGGCAGCCATAACATTTGTTAAGCAAAGAAAAATAATAAGATCACCCAGAAAATCTCAGTACCTCTGGATTTACTTTTTTATGCAGGCTACTGATTATAATTCTTCTAAATTTAAAAATAAAAGGTCATTTACACTCACCGGCCTCTTTATTAGGTACACTTTACTTCTACTGGGTTGGACCCCATTTTGCCTTCAGAACTGCCTTAATTCTTCATGCCACAGATTCAACAAGGTACTGGAAATATTCCTCAGAGATCCATATTGACATGATAGCATTACGCAGTTGCTGCAGATTTGTCGGCTGCACATGATGCGAATCTCCCTTTCCACCACATCCCAAAGGTGCTCAATTGGATTGAGTTCTGGTGACTGTGGAGGCCAGTTGAGTACAGTGAACTCATTGTCATGTTCAAAAAACCAGTCTGAGATGATTTGCGCTTTATGACATGGTGTGTTATCCTGGTGGAAGTAACCATCAGAAGATGAGTACACTGTGGTCATAAAGGGATGGACATTACAGCAATAATACTCAGGTTATGGTGTTAACACGATGCTCAATTGGTACTAATGGACACAAAGTGTGCCAAGAAAATATCCCCCACACCATTACACCACCACCACCAGCCTGAACCATTGATACAAGGCAGGATTGATTCATGCTTTCATGTTGTTGATGCCAAATTCTGACCCTACCATCCGAATGTCGCAACAGAAATTGAGACTCATCAGACCAGGCAGAATTTTTACAATCTTGAATTTTGCTGAGCCTGTGCGAGTTGTAGCCTCAGTTTCCTGTTCTTAGCTGACAGGATTGACACCCGGTGTGGTCGTCTGCTGCTGTAGCATCCGCGTCAACAACCATACCACATTTAAAGGCACTTAAATCCCCTTTCTTCCCCATTGTGATGCTCAGTTTGAACTGCAGCAGATCGTCTTGATCATGTTTACATGCCTAAATGCATTGACTTACTGTCATGTGATGTCATGACTGAATATTTGCATTATCAAGCAGTTGGACAGGTGTACCTAATAAAGTGGCCAGTGAGTGTAAAGCATAAAACTGCAATTGGTCAAGATAACAAATGTAAAAATGCCTATGTTTATTTGGAATGTGAAAGGAGTATCATCAGACCTTTACAAAATAAAACAAACATTGAAAACTTATTCAAACACATACATAGTAAATCAGCACATCCCGAGAATTTTCAAGTGGTCTCAAATATTTTTATATGTTCTTCTATGTCTGTTTCTTTAAGACGAACTCTAATGAACAGTGTATTCATCTGTCCTTGACTTAGCTGATACTGAAGGTACAACAGAAACGGCTGCATGGAAACGTTTAGTTACTATAGTCTATATATTTTATGCAGACATTTCTAAACAAAGAAAGTGTAGGTAGAGCCATTATAGCTCAGTGAATGGTTTTAATTTGATTTAATGTGTTTGCATCACATTCTGAATGACATTAAATTAGCCATTCCGAGGGCCCTTTATTTGTCTTGTTTATAGTGGATGAGAGGCATTACAAGGAACCAGGTTAACAAAAGTACGTCTACAGTAATTTGCATGTTGATATTATGAACTGTTTCTTTCTAATGTATTTACGCCGAAGCAAGTCCCTGCAGAACTTGGAAAATTAGCCTTTTTTAAAAGCTGTTATGTGGATTTAATGCAGTGTAGAACTACACTGTACACGGCTATATTTAAGTAGTGACATTGCTAGTGCCATAATTGCAGGTCTGGGACTGTTTCAATCAATTCTTTCATCCAAGCAAACGCGTGCTCTATAAATTGCATCTACGTAATCTAATGCTCCTTTGTGTTTTTACAGCAACCTGCTTCTGAATAAAAGTGGTAAAAACTTCATTGTCTGCTAATAATTTACTGCTGCATATAAACATGGGCTATGGCAGGGGTTCCCAAACATTTCAGCCTGTGACCAATATTCTCTGACGGTATTGGGTAAGTTACTTTAAAAAAGTAATAGATTACAAATTACTGATTACTACTGGAAAATTGTAATTTAATTATTTTACTAATTACTACATGTGAAAAAGTAACCAGATTGCTAATTACTTTGCTTTGAAGTTACTTTTAAAACATAAAATATACCTATAAATATACAAAATAAACTGCAGCTCTTTCAGTAATTTAATACTCTTCTGAAAACATTACAATGGGTTGATCACAGCGGCATGACATATTCAAAACACTTAAAGAGTTCGTCCAAAACTTAAAATTCTCCCATCATTCACTTGATCCAAACCTGTTTGTTTTTTTTTTAACACAAAAGAAGACATTTAGAAGAAAACTGGATACCTGTAACTATTGACATCTATAGTATGAAAAAGGTACTGCAGTGTTTGGGTGTTCTGTGTTTGTCTAAGCTAATTAATTTATCAAAATGTGTATATTCCAAAGCATGAAGCTGATCGGTCAGATCTTGTTACGTGACGCGCGGTTTTCAACTGGGTGCACCAGGGAAATGTGAGAGTGCACAATATGCACTTCCAATATGCAAGCGTGCAAATTACGTGATATGTGAACAGCCCCATAAGCAGCTACACTTCTCTTTACATTCAGAAGATACCTTCAGTCCCTATCCTACACACACACACACACAAAAAATTTCAATTTAGCCTGTTCAAGCTGAGTTGGACCACTGTGTTTTTGGGCATCTGGTGTACTCCTTGGTGACGAGTATTCTCGTAGAATGTTTTCTGTTCAAATGCTTGAACAAGTAGCTGGCCGAGTTAAAAGCAGTGGAAAGTTCTTTACCAAACTTAAACTGCATGTCACAGCAATATTTTTGTTTTTACGCTCAATGAAATCAAAGTAATGTCTGTATTTTCAAAGTAATGTCTTCCAAATGAAGAAGCAAACACTCTCGTCAGCATCCATTTCAGCTGGCGTTCTCCAGCAATTTAAAAGTGCATGCTCATTAACTGACGTTGCAGCAGAAAACGTGATTTAAAAGAAGCATTTTTTTTCTTCCAAAACCTATATTTGGAATGCAAGTAACGTATTTACACTGACTTTAGTAACTGTAATCAAATTACACACATTTAAAATGTAATTTGTTACATTACTGCGTTCCTCAAAACTGTAATTTTGAATACAGTAATGCATTACTGTGGAACTTGTTACACCCAAATCTGTTCTCTAAGAAGGTTATAAATATATAAACTTCGCACACAACAGCGCACACACACTAATAGGCACAAGTCTATTCGTTTAATTTTGGAGAACACCACTCGAAGACCATCCTTTACGTTCAGTTGTGGCCTGTATTTATTTTTAATGTACATGAGTGCAGTAAGGGTGTTAGAAAGTTTAACCTGGTGCCATAAAATCAATGTGCTGCATCTGACGCTATTACTGTGTCTTTAATATAACGTAATCATGTTAACAGTCTTAATATTAACAACTATTTTATTCTCCAGTAGGTTATGGATAAAATATGCTAATTCTAATAGTTTCATAAAATTTATTAGATTTTTGGATATCTCCCAAGAGCCAAGTGATTGTCCTGTGACCCCCCACTTTGGAAACCACTGTGCTAAAAGACTAAAAAGACAACATGTTGATAATTTCAGAGAAGGACATTGCTATAGGGTATATGCCGAAGCATGCTAATAGGACTTTTAATTTGCCAGTAACCTGGGTTAAGCGCTTCCGGTAAACTGTATGCCAATGCAAAAACTGGCACGTTTAAGGGCTGTTTTCTTTAAAAATCAGCGATCTCCACTAGCTGAGTAATATCCGATATGAAGTGGGTCTCAGATTGTACAAGAAGCACTGCATTAAATTACATTTTCCCCTGCCATATCTTTATAATACGAGCATTTATTTTACCCCAGTATATTCAATGGAGCTTCTGTGCTAGCCTGCCGATTCTAAAGGGCGGGTGCGAGCAAACGGCTTTTTGTCTTGTTTTACGCTTGAGCAACTAAATGAATGTCAAATTTTATTTAACTGAATGTATTTTAATGACATTACAACATCAATGCTGTAAAAGGAACCGTATAAAATGGGGAAAAAATTCACAATAACAGGTCACCGGAAGTTTATCAGTATGGGAAAAACACTAGCTCGGCATATACCCTATTCGAATCTATTCACAATGCCTTTTCTTTTATCAGTTTATGTTAATCAAAGCCATGACCTTAGCATTGTTAACATACACTTCCAGTTAAGTTCCAATAACACCCGCTATATGACTGATCTATATAAGATCTAATAAGCCAGACAAGGTGCATTATTTTAAATTATCATAAGACAAAAAAACTTGAAAAACATTACTCTGAAAGCATACAAAATGCATCTATTCTGAGACACCAACAAAAGAGCAAAACACAGGGCTTTGATCTAGAAACAAAAGATGCCTCATCGGTGACAAACAGCCGCACAAAGCCACAAATCAAAGACGGAAGTTAAAACTCACCTTGATGTTTATCTCTTTCACTCCCATGGTCAGTTGTCTAAATGCAATCTTCATCAGCCGTATCTTTTCTCAAAATGCTGCTTTCGTCT